TTTTTAAGATCGGTGGGACCCAAAAAGGTTCGGTATGAGAAATACGAAACCATCCAGGTTCGAGACGAATCCTCGATAGCTTGATGCAAAACCTTTACGGCTTTGTCTCGAACCTGGATGGCTTCGTATTTCTCATACCGAACCTTTTTGGGTCCCACCGATCTTAAAAAGGTTTCGTAGCAAAGGTTCCGCGCGTGTGCCCAGGATAAGAACCATTTTAGGTTTCGTAGCTGCTGCAGAACTTATAAAGGTTCGGTAGAGTACAGATTTTTTTTAGAGAGCACGCTTTTATATTTCTCAGCATTTCATAGTCAATTTAATCATAGAGTACAAATTCATCATCCAAACATCTGGTCGTTCATTAAATTTCTCCAAGCAGAAGAGAGTCGTATTTCATCACATGCATATTCAATTCTCTTCAGGTTTAGGCAAAAGAACACAAAAAGCTAAAACTATTGCTATTCAACATCGTATAGAAAATCTTACTGAGCGATATAATGATGGTCGTATAAATATTATGGAATATTTAGTTCGTCTATCACTGGTAGTTGCTAAGAAGAAAAAATAAAACGACACTTTTATTTTCTTCTATATCTATGATCAATAAATGATGTTATTATTATATTAAAAGTAAAAGATACTCTATTGCTTCAACTTTTTCCTCTTGAATATTATTTTATTCATTCTATTTCTTTCAATATTCGCCTTTTCACATTTTCGTTCTGTTTCTTTCTATATTTTTCCCGTCGACATTTTTCTTTCAACATTTTTCCTTTGAACATTTTCGTTCTTTTTCTTCCGACATTTTTCTTTTGAACGTTATTACGGCGCCCCGTGAATAGCAATACTGCGACAATCGATAATAAAAACAATAAGTAATTTGTTTCCAATTAGACATGTACCAAAGCCAAGCTCAAACTCGAAAATTCGAGTTCAAGTTGGGGTGTGGGTGTGGGTATAAGTGTGGGTGTGGCTAGGGTGTGAGATATAGGTGTGGGTGGGGTGCGGGTGTGGGTGTGGGTGGAGGTACGATGGACAATGAATATACCCTCACTCACACCCACACCGACACCCATACCCACACCCATACTCACACTCACACTCACACTCACACCCACAACCCACAACCCACACCCACACCCATACCCAACACCCACACCCCCACCCCACATCCCACACCCCACATCCCACACCCCACACCCACACCCCATACCTCACACCCCACACCCACACCCACACCCCACACCGACACCAACACTCCACACCCACCCACACCCACACCCCACACCCCACATCCACACCAACACCCCACACCCCACACCCACACCCCACACCCACACCAACACCCCACACCCACCCTCGTTGAGTTTCTTACTCATTTAGAGTACTCCAAATGTTCTAAAGAAACGAAAACAGTAAACACTTTCATGATACAACTAGTGACAAACTTCAATTCATAGTAACGTAAAAAATCGACTCATCTGCGAGAAGATGTCAATTTTTTCATCTCTCAATTTAAAGAAAGACAACATAGCCAAGAGTCGATCTGCTCATAATTGTTGTATTGTGTCACTCATTATATTCTATTTCAATTAAGTTTCTCACTATTTCTAAATGAATCATAAATTCTTGAAGAGAAACACTTAAAGATGTAGTTATGAGTATCGTTTAGCTGAAAAGATTAGCTTCAGTCCATGTTTCAATACTATTATATGTCCTTCTTGATGCAAGATATTTAGTTAAGTGTTGCAAAATAACTTGAACAAAAATTTATTGTCGAAGTTAGACTTCGTCAAAGTTTATTGCCAAACTTGTAACTTCGGCACGACATATATATATATATAGTAATGTGTAATGTGTTGCGTGGTATGTTGTATGTATGACGTGTGGTGCGTTGTGTGATGTGTGATACATTATGTGATGTGTAATGTGTGATGTGTGGTGTATTGTGTGGTACATGATAAAAGAAAAAAAAGTAATTGTATTTTGATTTGTGATCTGTAGCTGCTTTTTTTTCTTAATAAAATTAAAACTAATTAAACTGCTTTGATCGACACAATAGTCTCGATATCCATCTAACTGATGACATGTCTTGGTTTCTGATGTCAACAAAGGTCTTTTAGTTTACTTCTTTTGTCTGATCTGAAGATTCAAATACTTTTTTATATTTTTTTTAATGACTTTCCTTCACATAGTTGAGTGTTCCACTTAATTTAACAATACCAAGAGTGCAGCAAAGATATACAGGATAAATTGCGAATCTAGATGAAACATTGGCGATTCTAAGGATCCAGAAAGTCCCATGGGGATCCAGAAGATCCAGAAGATTCAAAAAATCCATTGAGGATCCAGAGGATCCAAAAAATGCATTGAGGATCCAAAAGATACCGGGATACGCTTTTTTCCCCTTGCTATTTCATCTATTCAGGCAGCTCAGAAGAGGTATTTTCGGCTTCAGTATGTAACACTGCATCTCGAAACATCAATTAACAGTCGATCAGCCAAAGTTTTTCAAACTTAAGCATAGTAGCTCATGAAAGATATGTAAGATTTTTATTAACTTGCGCGATTTCATTCGAGTTTTATATTGAAAGCAGGATTCGAAATTTTCTTAAGATTCATATTTTTGTAGAGTTTGTTGAACTCTATCGACCTATATAAAAATGTCTATTACAAACATGTAGAAATTAATATTTGACTTGACTTTAGCGGCTCAAATATTAAAGATTTCTTTGTTTTTTTCAAAAAATGTAACGTAAAAGATTTCACTCAACATTAGTAAAACGACCATAGGATTGTAATAGATTTATGTATTTCGAATTATTTTTTTCAGATGATGGCTCTAATCTTCCTCTACAAAATGACATAATTTGATCAATAACTTCATATAAATTTGTCATAGATATCATCGATTTACTGAGAGGGGTCGAAACTTTTGAACCACCCATTAGCAGAAATTCTACACAATATTGGAAAAATTCAACATCAACTTGACTATTTATTACGCAAAATAAAACGTGATTAATGATTATTTTTCTTTCCTTTTTTTCTTTGTATAGGTAATTATAAGCACATGACTGATTATGATGGAAAGAGAATTCAAGGATAAGCATACATATGAAATTTTTCTTAATTATCTTGGTGTTTCATATGCAATGATAAATGATTATAAAATCGCTTTTACACATGTGAAACAAGCATCACAAATTCATTACAATAATGTATGTTCAAATCGTATTGAAGTATGTGATGTTTATTCAAATTTAGGTGATATTTGTATGAAATTTCTTGCTGAAATTCATCAGCAACAACAAAAATATCAAAGTGAAAAATAATCACAATTAGAGGAGCCAAAAAATTATTCTTTAGAAGCACAACGGATTTTTCAAACTATATTCGGCATTAGACATACAAATGCTGAAAAGCTTTTGTCACTTTTACTTATTACTGCTTTTAACAACCCATTATCTAAAATTTGGTTCAAATAAATTCGCTGCTAATGAGCATACTACTTTTCTAAGAAATAACAATCTATAAGTAGTGTTGCAGTGCATAGAGTAGCCACTTGCACCTCCTCCCCTCACCATACCATAGGCCATTACATACAGGATTGAAAAACGCCTTAGGAAGGATGTAGATGTAGCTCGGGGTGTGCCTATTGAGTGGTGCGTATGAAAAAAAGATGAACATTTAACCATACCCTTACAAAAAGAAAAATCAATCATCTTGTTACGCTTTCGAAAATCCATGAATTTCAACCTTCATTCAGCGTCTCTCATTCTTCTTCAAAATAGAAACAATAAAAAATTATCATGCTCCGTTAAAAACAAGATTTATGCTAAAGTTATACGAGTTATTTTCAATTTTATTCTTTGCATGAACATAAATTATTTTATTCATCTACTCTACTCCTTTCAATACAACACCTACGAATTTAAAGCTTCACAAAGATGGATTATAAAAGAAGATATGTAATGATGGAGTCATTCAACAATTCTTCACAGTTTTGAGAACAAACAAAAAAATTAAAGATAAACTCTTAAGTCTCCAATCCATGAACATCTTTCATCCCGGTTCTATTCAGCTATTTCTTCATTTCGAAACAAAGTTAAGAGTCAAAGCATCACCCAAATGAAAATCGGGAATGGAATAAAATTATTCCAAAGAATTAGCTCACCAATTTTGCTCATCTCGACCAGAAAACAGCAAGTTTCATCAGATGATCCAAGATCACATCATAAATCAAAATTTCTCATCACAGTCCTGTTCATCTATTGATTTGATTCGAAGAGAAGAAAGAAAGATTCATCAGATGATCCAAGATCATATCACAAATGATTATTTCTCACGATAGTGCAGCTCATCTATTGATTTGATTTTGAAGAGAAGAAAGAAAGATTCATCAGATGATCCATGATCACATCACAAATGAATATTTCTCATAATAGTTCTGTTCATCTATTGATTTGATTTCGAAGAGAGGAAAGAAAGATTCATCATATGCTCCAAGATGACATCATAAATGAATATTTCTCATTATAGTTTTGTTCATCTATTGATTTGATTTCGAAGAGAAGAAAGAAAGATTTATCACATGATCCAAGATCACATCACAAATGAATATTTTTCAGGAGAGTTCTGTTCATGTATTGATTTGATTTCGAAGAGAAGAAAGAAAAATTCATCAGATGATCCAAGATCACTTCACAAATGATTATTTCTCATCATAGTTCTGTTCATCTATTGATTTGATTTTGAAGAGAAGAAAGAAAGATTCATCAGATGATCCAACATGACATCACAAATGAATATTTCTTAGGATAGGTCTGTTCATCTATTGATTTGATTTCGAAGAGAAGAAAGAAAGATTCATCAGATGATCCAAAATCACATCACAAATGAATATTTCGTAGGATAGTTCTGTTCATCTATTGATTTGATTTCGAAGAGAAGAAAAAAAGATTCATCAGATGATCTAAGATCATATCACAAATGATTATTTCTCACGATAGTGCAGTTCATCTATTGATTTGATTTCGAAGAGAAGAAAGAAAGATTCATCAGATGATCCAAAATCACATCACAAATGAATATTTCTCAGAACAGTTCTGTTCTTCTATTGATTTGATTTCGAAGAGAAGAAAGAAAGATTCATCAGATGATCCACGATCACATTAAGAATTAATATTTTTCACGACAGTACTGTTCACGTACTTATTCCATTTCGAAGGAAGGAAAATATGAATCGTTATTTGATAGAGAGTTACATGATAAAGATATCTCTTGAATGACAAGTTGCATGGTTTTGCTCTTCTATTGTGATTATTTCTCTCAAAAAAACAGTGATTTTAGCAGATTGTTAAAGATTCCATACTTTACGAACTTTTCTATCATTGTCATTATCAAATATATTGTTCCCCTTCGAAAAAAGCATTTAGAGTTATGAAATTGACGACAAACCGGAACGAAAATGAACAGTTTTTAGCATCATCCCATTCTTTTTATTTTTACTCATAAATTTCAAAACTTTGATCTCGAAAATGGGTACAATATCATGTAACAAATAAATACTCTTAACGAGTCTTCGATTCAACTATTACGTTTGATTTCATTATTAAGATTTTAACGTGAGACAGTGCTTAAAAACTAACCATTTAAGAACACATTATACGCGTGCCCAGTCTACGTTCTTTGAGTTCTGTAAAGAAAAACTTTCTAGTAAATCACTGCGCAAACATCGCAAGTCAAATAAATGATTGTTTTCCAATCAGTACGTTCTCGTATTGATTTGATTTCGATGAGAAGAAAGAAAGATTCATCAGATGATCCAAGATTACATCACAAATAAATATTTCTCAGGATAGTTCTGTTCATCTATTGATTTGATTTCGGAGAGAAGAAAGAAAGATTCATCAGATGATCCAAAATCACATCACAAATGAATATTTCTTAGGATAGTTCTGTTCATCTATTGATTTGACTTCGACGAGAAGAAAAAAAGATTCATCAGATGATTCAAGATCATATCACAAATGATTATTTCTCAATATAATTCCGTTCATCTATTGATTTGATTTCGAAGAGAAGAAAGAAAAATTCATCAGATGATCTAAGATCACATCACAAATGAATATTTCTCATAATAGTTCTGTCCACCTATTGATTTGATTGCGAAGAGGAGAAAGAAAGATTCATCAGATGATCCAAGATGACATCGCAAATGAATATTTCTCATCATAGTTCTGTCCACCTATTGATTTGATTTTGAAGAGAAGAAAGAAAGATTCATCAGATGATCCAAGATCACATCCCAAATGAATATTTCTCAGAATAGTTCTGTTCATCTATTGATATGATTTCGAAGAGAAGAAAGAAAGATTCATCAGATGATCCAAAATCACATCACAAATGAATATTTCTCATCATAGCTCTGTTCATCTATTGATTTGATTTCGAAGGGAAGAAAGGAAGATTCATCAGGTGATCCAAAATCACATCACAAATGAATATCTCTCATAAAAGTTCTGTTTACCTAATCTGTTGATTCCGATTGAGTATTAGAAATCACAACGCTAATAAAGAGAGCATAAACATTTTATATACATTTACCAACGGTTATATTCGGATTTATTTGGTCTGCCAAATTAAATGTTGCATGACGTTTGAGTAATGAAATGCCAGTTAGCAGTGAATGATGAAAATCAGCATGACGTAAAACTATTTTATTCACTATAAACAACATTTTCAGAGTATAAGAGTGGTTGTTAATAACATGTTTGATGGCAGCTCCTAAGAACATTTGCCAGAAGCCTGCTCACTAGTTTCGGTGAAATGAAGCTTATGACTTGATGTGATGAGTTAATAAGATGTTACATAAAAAATGAACAGCCATGACATTTCGTACAAGCATAACCGTTACATGGAAGTTTTGTCGTAATAATGGATGCCGTTGGCTGTTGTTCTTCTAAATAAATAGGCACTTAATTTTATCTTTATAGCAAAACCTAATGGTGCGGGCAACTTTTCGATCAAAAAATACGTAGAAGAAATTGAAAAAATTTCATGAAAGTGGTATATACCGGAGTACCAATATTGACGCAGACAATTGATGTCGTTCTGATCAACGGTCACAAGGGAAGAATAGTTTTTTAAGTTTTAGTTTAGACTGACTACTGCCCAAAAATTTTCAAGAAACAATGGAATCTGAGTCACTTCGGTATGAATTGATTTCCTTTAAAATAAGTCTTTCGCTTGAGAATCATTTCTGATTTTTGATAATATCCCTATAAATTCACAACGTAAAAGTTCTTAATACTCTGAACTCTCGCACCCAAGGTCAAGTAAACATCTCCTATTGGGAAGAAAATTTACTAGTTAGCAAGTGTAAATCGCAGATTTCTTCCAAGTTCTATATAGACTACTATATTCTGCTTTTCATCAGGCTGCTCACTTATAAGTTAATAAGTAGGATATATCATTTTTATGAGTAATTGGTGTATGTGTATGGTTGATCGTTTGAAAGTTAATAAAGTGTAAAACAGTTCTACTAGAGTCTCTCAAAATGTACTAAACTAAAAGATGAACTATGTAAGAATCTATTAGAACCTGCCCGTCTAACCAGAAACTGGTTTGACTATGGACTCTGAATTGTGAAATGCTTAAAAGAATTTATCGAAATTATAGTTGGTAACTTTTTTCGAGTATCTAACTGGATCATCATCAAGTTACTCTAACCATTTGAAAACTGGTTGATTTTGAAAGAATTGACGCACTACATTTCAATTAGGTTTATTGAACTTTCATGTGAGGATTTGTTTTCGGGCACCATTAAAAATTTCAAACAACGTCTAAAACAGGTGTTGGTCGTCATATAAATATATTTTTCTGCTAGAAGCGTGTGCCATCTCAGGATGTTAAAAGAGATTAGAATGACTGAGTTCTATGACAGTTACATACAGTAGCGGAGTCAGAATTTGGGACTAGAAAGGCTGTGTCCTCTGGTTAATAAAATGCATACTTCAAAAATCTCATTAGATGAACTCAAAAGTCCAAAGGTAGAAGTTGAATTCTCTTGGTGCATGAAACTATGTTTGAAAGATTTCAGCAGAGAGCTCGAAAGTTTCTAGAGGAGCTGAACATTTCTAATCCCTGTCTGGTTCTGCCACTGATTATATAGATCACAAAGATGCAATAAATTTACCAATATATCTTGATTCAATTTTCGGCTCTATAACAGAGAAATATAGTAATTTAGATGCTGCATCTAACACATAATATTGCTTGGATCATTTTTTTTCGCAATATATAATATATCACGTAATACCTGACTAGAGAC